ATATATATATATATATATATATATGTGTGTGTGTGTGTGTGTGTGTGTGTGTGGCGGTTGTATATGAATGTTTGTGCCCGATTCTGCTTACAAAACTCACTCGACATACCTGCTGAAGATAAGCTTGCGCCCTAGACTTTCGGCTCCGTGTCCTGCTATTATCCAAATACAGCTAATCGATGGCTGAAATATAAACTTGCGTACACAAGCCAGTGATAAACATGTAACGAGATGTGTAGGAGCCATCATATTTTTTTTCCTGTAACCTCTGTGCATAAACCCCTTTTTCCGGTGCTGTTGCTGATTTAGTAAACAGCGTGTTTTGCTTCTCTTTTTGGTAGCAGTTCATGTTCCAATATGTCTCTTTGGAGCACGATGAAAAATCCCATTACAAAAGCCCCCGGAAAAGTGCTTCAAACCACTCCAGGAAATAAAGGCGCCCATGTCTTCTTTTATCTGTCAATAAGTACTTAGTTTGGATTAGTTTGGCACAAGGCCAACAGAATGGGTTACATACCAAAAACTGAACATTTGGATAATGGCTTCTATCCAAAATGGTGCATATTTGCTGCTCGATCCTCAGTTCCCCGTCTTGGCACTGTTCAAAACATTTTAAGCGTTCTTCTAGGTGATGACTTATTCTCTGTTTTACGGCCTCTTTTCCACAAACGCAACGTTACATGCTTTTTTTTATTCTATCACTATTAATCATCTGAGAGACACTCCGCTGCCTTCAATCAGCATGGCTGATGGTAACCCCCAGGGGAGTGAATCTTTGCGGGTTATCGGGCTCACGTTCCCTGCTGACATGATGTGGAAACTATGTCGAATCCATTGCTAGGTCAGCTGCTAAGAAAGTCGGTTCACTGCGTCGTGAGAGAGAATTTTTCTCTGCGGAATCTATCTCCTAATATCTCTAAATCTATCATTATATTTAACGCCCCTCCACGTGGGTCATATGTGGCACAAAGCCGAGTTTATCTTGGGTTCTGCGAACCCGTAAGCTCGACTAAAAATATTCCCTTCGAACCTGCCTAAACGGGTTCAGGGCTTGTCTATCTCCCCGGACGAAACTCGTTCGGGTTCCTCTCCGCCGAGGCGGAGAGTTTGACAGCCGAAAGAGCTGTGGTAACTTTCTCTGAAACTACCATTCGTCCATGTTGAGAATATTGCTGCCACATATGGTCCGGTGCGCCTGGTATTTACCTTGAGCTTCAAGGTGAATAGCAAGCGAAGAATCGGCAATATTACAGGTCCTGATCTGGCGGCTCGGCTCCATTTACTCTCCCACCGCCGCAAGGTTGCCTCTCTGTGTCTTTTCTATAAATACTTTCATAGTAATTGTTCGGATGAGCTATTCTCTGTGGTACGTTGATTTTTTGGAATTTAAGTACAGCACTAGACGTATCGTGATCTCATCAATTCACAGTTGAGCTGGCTAGATGTAGACGTAAGTTCTATGCTAACTGTTTCTTTTCTCGCACTTCTCGCTTGAGGAACTCACTTCTGGATTCATGCTTTCCTCTCAACTTTAATATGGAAAAATTTAAATACAATGTCAATCGCTATCTACAGTTCTCCTGATTACTCTTTCCTCTTCCCGCTCATTATTAATGTTTCTGTCTCCATAATTTATGCTTCAAATATTTAAATGCAAATGTCAATCGTAACCCCCCTTATGTTTTAGTGGCTTTACTGCCTTCCTTGGAGTGATACCAATTAAAAAAAAGATTCCCGTGGCAAATACTCATATTAGCTCCATTCTTTAGTTCCACCTGTTAAGCTAGAACGCGCCCTGTTAAATCTCTGGATTCGAATCAGCCTCATTTTCCCTTTATATTCCACTTACAATGAGAAAGATCCTCCGAGTCTGTGTAACAGGCTGAAAATTTCAGCCATAACCTCTTCAAATGAAGTGTTTGTCGTTACCTTTCTTCCTTATCCTTGAAGAGGATTGTGGTACAGGTTATTAACGAACGGCGCTGCTTTTTCTCACCAGTTTGTAGCGGGAGGATTTTAGAAGTTTCATAATAAAGGAATTCAACATTTTCAAAAGAAATGAATTTCAACACATGGAGGTACTTAAAATTTGTTTTTATATAAACACTTAAATTACAAGAAGATAAAAAAAAATTCTGTATACACAGATTAGCTGAAAAGGCAAAGAAAAAAATTAAGCTTTTGCTGTAAGTTAACGGTTAACCCTAGACGTGAAAATTTCTTTTCAGTCATTTCACCCCAAGCAAGGCAATAAAATCACTAGGACTTAAGTGGTTACTGAATGTTAGAGACTATGAAAAAATACACTATTAAGAAGAAAGGAAAATAAATGAACAAGTATTAAGAAAACAGAAGATAACGATTGACATTGCATTTAAATTTTTGAAGATCAAATTTGACTAGAATGCAAGAATCCGGAAGAGAGTTCCACAAGCGAGAAGTGCGAGAGAAGAAGCTGTTAGCATAGAACTTACGGTTACATCTACCAGTTTCAACTGTAAAATGATGAGAACTTGCAACCGTAATAGTATTGACACACATTTCATGGGGAATGTTTGATATTACACTTTTTATTCTGTCCTTGAGTATTGTTGCTATACACGCGAGCCTCTGTCATAGGCCATAATCAGAAATCACAAAGTGTAATTGGTCCATATTTCTTTACAACTCCAACGGTGACTGCAAATGCAAACTTAGAAATGATGCAAGACTTTGCCATTGATAACATACCCTCACAAATCAGACAAACAGGGTATTTCCAACAGGATGGTGCACGGCCTCATTCTACCTGTACTGTTCGCACTTGTCTGGATCAAAATGTTTCCCAAATTGTTGGATAGGTCATGGCAGACTACTAGCATGGCCACCACATTCGCCCTGATGTGATACCCTGTGACATTCTGGTTATGGGGTATGATAAAGGGTTGCATGTATGACAAAAAAAGTTAAAGACATTGAAGAACTTAAGAACAGAATACAAACAAGGATGGAGGGCTTGGAAAATCTGATACTCACAGGACAGACTGAGGGCAAGAGGGACAGAGGAAACCAGTACATAGCATCCTTTATTATATCCCATAACCAGAAGTCACAAGGTGTAATTGACCCATATTTCTTTACAACTCCAATGATGACTGCAAATACTTACTTAAAAATGCTTCAAGAATTTGCCATTGCCCTACAAATCAGACAAGCAGGGTATTTTTAAAAGGATGGTACACTGCCTCATTTTACCTGTACCGCTTGTCTCAATCAAAGTCTCCCAAATTTTTGGATAGGTCACGGCAGACTACTGTGATGGCCACCACATTCCCCTGATCTGATACCCTGTGACCTGGTTATGGGGCAAGATAAAGGGTTGGGTGTATAACAAAAATGTTAGAGACATTGAAGAACTTAAGAACAGAATAAAAGGTGTAATATCAAACATTCCCCGTGAAATGTGTGTCAAGGCACTTAATTGTACTGTTGATCACTGGTTTTTGTGCATCAATTGTGGTGGTGGACAGGCGGAGACTTTTCAGTAAACTCCGAATAAATGATTCCTCTCTTATTAGAGTTAACATAATTTTGACTCACCCTGTAAATATAATTTTACTGCTTAGGATACGAGCCCAAAATATCTGTGATCTTCCAAGTTATATTGGCTGATTGTTTCCATGAAGGACGCAACCTTTAGTCCAGACATGAATTCTACATTTATCGCTGGAAATTAAAAAGTTTCCCAGATCATTGGATAGGTCGCGGCATTCTCCTGCTCTGATGCCCTGTAACACCCTTGAAATGTATGCCAAGGCACTAAATTGTATTGTTGATCGATGTATGTTGTGCATCAATCGTGCTGGTGGACAGGTGGGGACTGTCCAGTAAACTATGAACAAATGATTCCTCTCATATTAGTGTTAACATAATTTTGACACCCTGTTTATATATATATATATATATATATATATATATATATATATATATATATATAAAATGATTCCTTTCATATAAGTGTTAACATAATTTTGACACCTATATATATATATATATATATATATATATATATATATATATATATATATATATATATATATAAATGATTCCTTTCATATTAGTGTTAACATAATTTTGACTCACCCTGTATAGTCAGAGAGTCTTTTTTTCTTTCCTTCTTTCTTTTTTAATCAGATTTTTAAATGGTTTCTTTTTCTTTATCCTATTCTGTTTCTTTCTTCATTTTCTTTGCATTTTTTGCTTTTATTAAATAAAGTCCAGTGATATATAATTCCAATCACCTGAAGAAGTCTGGAGCGTACATCGGCCGAAATGTCGTGAATACGGCAATAAGGATAAAGCACAATCCGAACAATCGAAATAACGTAAACAAAAGGAATAGAATAAAGAAAAAGGAAAGAAATAAGAAACAAAAATCTGATGAGAACGAAAGAATGAAAGAATAAAATAAAGGCAAAAATGGCAATAAAGATGAGGACAACAGTGTGAACATTTTACTAATGTAAATAATTACAATAACTTATCTCAGAAATATAGACACAACCTGAAGGAGGACGGTGCGTACAACCGTCGAAACGTCGTTAGTATGACAAGAAAGATGAGTACAACAGTCTGAACAATTTAAATAATGTAAATAATTACAATACCTTATCTCAGAAATATAGACAGAACTTAAAGAAGGCCGGAGCGTACAACGGTCGAAACGTCCTGAATTTAGACATCTCCTTCTTTTCTTTCTCTTTTCTTTCTTTATTTCTTTCTCATTCGAATATTGATTTTGTTCTTTTTTTTTATTCCAAATTTTCTTGTTTTATTTCTTTCTCATTTTTTCTTCCTTTTTTTTATCAGAATTTTATATATTGTTTCGTTTCCTTTATTCTGTTGATTTTCCTTCATTCCTTCTTTCTGTTTTTTCTTTCTTTCTTTCTTTCTTTCTTTTGTAGCATACGATAACGGGTATGCCCCCCCCCCATTCCCATAAATACAGTAGTGAATAGTGTATGTGTTGGAGATTCCGCTTCAGCTGGGCTGAGTTAAGCTCTCTGCCTCCGGGCGGAGGGCATCCCCGGACGGTGCCAACTCGAAGGGCAGAGGCTCGTCTCGGGAAACACCTATCCGACCCCGTTTTATGCAGAGTCGGGTATCTTTGTCTCTTTTTTACTTTTTCTTCCAATTATTTATATTCTCTATTTTTTCTTTTCTTTTTCTCTCTCTTTCTTTCTTTAGTTATTCCTTTAATTCTCTCCAAATTATGAACATTCTCTCTTGTTCTTGACCTTTTTCTTTCCTTTATTTTTTCTTTATTTCTTGCTTTCTCTTCAAATAATTTATATTATCTTTTTCTTTCTTTCTTTCTTTCTTACTTACTTTCTTTCTTACTTTCATTCTTTCTTTCTTTTCAAATTGTTTCCATTGCCACTTGTTCTTTCCTGTACTCTTTCTTTCTTCCTTACCTTCTCTTCAAATTGTTTACATTCTCCATTTTCTGTCTTCCTTTCTTTCTTTGTTTCTTTATTTATTTCTCTCCAAATTGTGCACATTCTCTCTTTTTCATTCCCTTATTCTTTCTTTCTTACTTTCTCTCCAAATAATTTATATTCTCTCTTTTCTTTCTTTTTTTCATTCTTTCTTTCTTCCTTTCTTTCTTTCTTTCTTTCTTTCTTTCCAGTTTGTTTTCATTGTCTCTTTTGCTTTCTTCCTTTTTTTTCTTTCTTTCTTACTTTCTTTGAAAGTCTTTTTAAATTGTTTCCATTCTCTTTCTTCTTTCCCCTGTTAATTTGTTCTTTCGTTGTATTTCTTTCTCTTCAAATCAGTTCCGTTTACTCTTTCTTTCTTTCTTTCTTACTTACTTTCTTTCTTACTTTCATTCTTTCTTTCTTTATTTCTTTCTTTTCAAATTGTTTCCATTGCCACTTGTTCTTTCCTGTACTCTTTCTTTCTTCCTTACCTTCTCTTCAAATTGTTTACATTCTCCATTTTCTGTCTTCCTTTCTTTCTTTGTTTCTTTATTTATTTCTCTCCAAATTGTGCACATTCTCTCTTTTTCATTCCCTTTTCCTTTCTTTCTTACTTTCTCTTCAAATAATTTATATTCTCTCTTTTCTTTCTTTCTTTCTTTCTTTCTTTCTTTTTTTCATTCTTTCTTTCTTTCTTTCTTTCTTTCTTTCTTTCTTTCTTTTCTTTTTTTTCATTCTTTCTTTCTTTCTTTCTTTCTTTCTTTCTTTCTTTCTTTCTTTCTTTTCAGTTTGTTTTCATTGTCTCTTTTGCTTTCCGGTATTCTTTCTTTCGCTTTCTTCCTTTTTTTTTCTTTCTTTCTTACTTTCTTTGAAAGTCTTTTCAAATTGTTTCCATTCTCTTTCGTCTTTCACCTGTTAATTTGTTCTTTCGTTGTATTTCTTTCTCTTCAAATCAGTTCCGTTTACTCTTTCTTTCTTTCTTTCTTTCTTTCTTTCTTTCTTTCTTTCTTTCCCTTCAAATTATTTCTATTCTCTCTTTTTCTTTCTCTTATTATCTCTTTTTTCACTTCTTTTTCTTTTCTTTTTCTTTCTTTCCTTTTACCATTCTTCATATCTCTATTTTGTTTTTTTTCTCCTTTTTTATTTCCTGTTACCTTCTGACTTTTCCCTTTTGCTCTTCGTCTTCGTCATTTTATTTTTTTCTTTAATTTCATCTGTTCAATTTTGACGCCCGTCATTTTCTTTTCATTCCTTCGTTTTATCCTCTGCCCCACCTCCTTTCTACGAATTACTTTATTTCTCGTTTCAAAGTCGTTTCCTTTATTTATTTTTGCTGCTCTTTGATTTCAAACTAATTGCTAAAACCGTATAAGGTCTTTTTAAAATCCCATAACTGTCGCATTCTGTTGAGCGTTCATGACACTAAAACTGTTTAAGATACAAAAATGGACAGCAGGGGTTGAGTAAGAACTGTGACTCCCAACATCGGGAGACCGCACGGTTGCAATTGAGGAAACGTTTGGTCACGCCTGCTTGAAGTTCAATAATCTGAACCCGCCCCTAAAAACTACGAACTCCAAAGACTTACATCTACCCCAGAATGCAGTGAAGCGTGATCAGAGAAATGTGTAAGTTGTTGTTTTGTGGGTAAAAAGCTAAGTTGTATGACTGAAGTTGAGTGGGTAGCAATAGAATAAAAATGAAAGATGGAAGAGAAAGAAAATAATAAAGAATGGATGAACGGTATTATGGTTGGGAAGAGAATAACGGAAAATAACAAATAATCGAGAAAGAAAGAAGGAAAGAAAGAAAGAAGGAAAGAAAGAATAAGAGAAGGATAAAAGGGACCATGGAGACATTTTTAAGAAAAAGAAAGAAAAAAAAAGCGGACAATGTAAATAATTCTCAAGAGAAAGAAAGAAATAAAGAAAGAAAGAAAGAAAAAGCGACGATATCAAATATTTTAAAAGAAAGAAGGAAAGAAAAACAGAAAATATAAAAAGTTTGTAAGAGTTTGAAAGAAAAAAAAAGGAAAGAAAAAGGGAAAATATAAAAAGTTTTGAAAAGAAAGAAGAAATGCAAGTCGAAATAAAAGAGACAATAGAAACAGTTCGAAAAAAGAAAGAAAAAGAAACAATATAAAAATTTTAAAAAGAAAGAAAAAGGAAATAAAGAATAAAAAAGAAAAATAATTAAAAAGAGATAGTATAAAAGTTCTAAAAAAGAAAGAAAGAAAAAAAAAGAAATTAAGAAGAAAAAAAGAAAGAAAGAAAGAAAGACAAGGAGAAAGTAAAAGGAGACCATGGAAATTTTTTTGAAGAAAAGAAACGAAGAAACGGACCATAAAATAATTCTCAAAAGAAAGAAAGAAAGAAAGAAAGAAAGAAAAAGGGATGATATCAAATGTTCGAAAAAGAAACAAGGAAAGAAAAACTACAAAAAGCTGTAAGAAAAAAAAGAAAAAGAAACAAAGAAAAAGTGAAAAAAATAAAAAAGTTTTAAAAAGAAGAAAAAATGAAAGTCAAAATGTAAGTGAAAAAAGAAACAATTCGCAAAAAAGAAAGAAAAATGCAACAATGTAAAAATTTTAAAAAGAAAGAAAAAGGAAATAAAGAATGAAAAAAATGATTAAAAAGAGATAATATACAAGTTCTAAAAAAGAAGAAAAAAAAGGAAATTAAGAAAGAAAGAAAAAAAGTAAGAAAGAAAAGGCGATGATATCAAATGTTCGAAAAAGAAAGAAGGAAAGAAAAACTACAAAAAATTATAAGAGAAAAAAGAAAAAGAAAGAAAGAAAAAGTGAAAAATAAAAAAATTTAAAAAGAAGAAAAAAATGAAAGAGACAATATAAATAGTTCAAGCAAGGAAAGAATACGAGAAAGGTAAAAGAGACCATGGAAACATTTCTGAAGATAAAGAAAGGAACAATTAAAGAACGAAAAAAAGACAGAAAAGGTGACAATATTAAAATTTATAAAGAGAAAGAAATAGAGAAAAAAAGAAAAAGAGACAATATAGAAATTTTCTACAAAGAAAGAGATAAAGAAAGAAAAAGTACAAGATGAAAAATTATAAAAAGAAAGAAGAAAATTCGATAGAAAAATTTCTAAAAAGGAAAAAAAGAAAAGTATGAATGAAAAAAATAAAAAAATAATTAAAAAGAAATAATATAAAAAGTTTTAAAAACAAAGAACGAAAAAGAAATAATTAAAGGAAAATAATATAACGCGTACTAAAAAGAAAGAAAGAGAAAACGTAAAACAATCTAAAAAGAAAGAAAGAAGCAAAAAAAGAAAGAGGGGATAATATAAAAATTATGAAAAAGGAAAAAAAGAAAGAAAGAAAAAGAAACGATATAGAAATTTCTAAAAAAAAGACAGAAAGGAAAGAAAGAAAAGAAACTATATAAAAAGTTCTAAAAAAAAGAAAGAAAGAATGAAAAAATAAATAAAAAGATATAAAGGTTCTAAAAAAGAATGAACGAAAAAGAAAGAAAGAAAGAAGCAAACAAACAAACAGCAGGAAAAAGAAAAAAGAGTAAAGGAACAAAAATAGACACTACATATAATTCTCAAACGGAAGAAACAAAGAAAAAGTGACGATATAAAATGTTCTAAAAAGAAAGAAGGAAAAAAACAATATAAAGAGTTGGGTAACAAAGAACGAAAAAGAAAGAAATAAAGAAAGGAAAGTGAAAAGAAAGAAAAAATGAAAGAATGATATATACCGTACTTACGAAGAGTAATGGCTATATCTCAATACCCATAAAATAAATACGTTGGATATTATTGTAAGTGGGAGTAATATGCTAAGTCGTTCACCACTAACAGTGGTTTACCTACTTCACAACGGTGGCGAGTATTGTATTTTGTTGATGTTACAAAGACTGCCATTTCATTTCCAACTTCTGCTTTGGTTAATCCTCATTCAGTAACCCTTTCTACGTTACAAGGAAAAAATGAAAAGGACAAAAAAGAAACAGAAAAACCCCAATGCAAATGGTTCTAGAAAGAAATAAAGAAAGAAAGGATGAATGAACTCTGATACAAGGAGGAAGGAAGTATACAGGAGATCCGAAAGTCTTGTCACGCTAACCTTTTCTTCCAAAATGTAGAAGCGTGTACACTATTTACATTATTCGGACTATTGTCCTCATCTTTGTCGCCATATTTATTACAACCTTTCGGCCTTTCAGTATCTGTCTATATTTCTGAGATGAGGTATTATGTACACTATTTACATTATTCGGACTATTGTCCTCATCTTTGTCGCCATATTTATTACAACCTTTCGGCCCTTTCAGTATCTGTCTATATTTCTGAGATGAGGTATTATGTACACTATTTACATTATTCGGACTATTGTCCTCATCTTTGTCGACATATTTATTACAACGTTTCGGCCCTTCAGTATCTGTCTATATTTCTGAGATGAGGTATTATGTACACTATTTACATTATTCGGACTATTGTCCTCATCTTTGTCGCCATATTTATTACAACCTTTCGGCCTTTCAGTATCTGTCTATATTTCTGAGATGAGGTATTATGTACACTATTTACAATATTCAGACTATTGTCCTCATCTTTGTCGCCATATTTATTACAACCTTTCGGCCCTTCAGTATCTGTCTATATTTCTGAGATGAGGTATTATGTACACTATTTACATTATTCGGACTATTGTCCTCATCTTTGTCGCCATATTTATTACAACGTTTCGGCCCTTCAGTATCTGTCTATATTTCTGAGATGAGGTATTATGTACACTATTTACATTATTCGGACTATTGTCCTCATCTTTGTTGACATATTTATTACAACGTTTCCGCCCTTCAGTATCTGTCTATATTTCTGAGATGAGGTATTATGTACACTATTTACATTATTCGGACTATTGTCCTCATCTTTGTTGACATATTTATTACAACGTTTCCGCCCTTCAGTATCTGTCTATATTTCTGAGATGAGGTATTATGTACACTATTTACATTATTCGGACTATTGTCCTCATCTTTGTCGCCATATTTATTACAACGTTTCGGCCCTTCAGTATCTGTCTATATTTCTGAGATGAGGTATTATGTACACTATTTACATTATTCAGACTGTTGTCCTCATCTTTGTCGCCATATTTATTACAACCTTTCGGCCCTTCAGTATCTGTCTATATTTCTGAGATGAGGTATTATGTACACTATTTACATTATTCGGACTATTGTCCTCATCTTTGTCGCCATATTTATTACAACGTTTCGGCCCTTCAGTATCTGTCTATATTTCTGAGATGAGGTATTATGTACACTATTTACATTATTCGGACTATTGTCCTCATCTTTGTCGCCATATTTATTACAACCTTTCGGCCCTTCAGTATCTGTCTATATTTCTGAGATGAGGTATTATGTACACTATTTACAATATTCAGACTATTGTCCTCATCTTTGTCGCCATATTTATTACAACCTTTCGGCCCTTCAGTATCTGTCTATATTTCTGAGATGAGGTATTATGTACACTATTTACATTATTCGGACTATTATCCTCATCTTTGTGGCCATATTTATTACAACGTTTCGGCCCTTCAGTATCTGTCTATATTTCTGAGATGAGGTATTATGTACACTATTTACATTATACGTACTATTGTCCTCATCTTTGTTGACATATTTATTACAACGTTTCCGCCCTTCAGTATCTGTCTATATTTCTGAGATGAGGTATTATGTACACTATTTACATTATTCGACTATTGTCCTCATCTTTGTTGACATATTTATTACAAAGTTTCCGCCCTTCAGTATCTGTCTAAATATCTGAGATGAGGTATTATCTACACTATTTACATTATTCGGACTATTGTCCTCATCTTTGTTGCCATATTTATCACAACCTTTCGGCCTTTCAGTATCTGTCTATATTTCTGAGATGAGGTATTATGTACACTATTTACAATATTCAGACTATTGTCCTCATCTTTGTCGCCATATTTATTACAACCTTTTCGGCCCTTCAGTATCTGTCTATATTTCTGAGATGAGGTATTATGTACACTATTTACATTATTCGACTATTGTCCTCATCTTTTGTTGACATATTTATTACAACGTTTCCGCCCTTCAGTATCTGTCTATATTTCTGAGATGAGGTATTATGTACACT